TCAAGTGGTTGAGGCAGTAAATTGGCCGGAAACCAATGAATTTAATTGACAGTGTGGGGAATGAGCCAAGGTGCTCGCTCGCTACCCTTCGTTTAACGCTTACCGACCATGGCGTTTCGAGAGATCTGCTGGGTTCTATTAATATCTACCACAGATATCTCAATTGACTCTTTAAAGACAGCACGGGCTCATTATTGATAGGACTCGTATGAGGAGCACCAGTACATTAAGTTACTAGATGTGGCTGTACGTCCCATGGACGAATACATTTCAACAAATCTCAAGTGTATTTGAATCACGTTTCTTCTTACGAACGTAAACGGTAGCTGTATAATTTAAAACGAAGTCGAATCCCTAGGTTTCAATGTAATTAACAAGAGATGAACATGGATTCACTCTTCTTGACGTATGTACCCTTTTTAAAGCTCTGTAAACGTGACCGGCGATAACATTCCTGGTGTTCGTAATTGGTAAGCTACGCCTGGGGTGAGCGAAACTGTTCAAAACCAAGCGTTTGGAAAGATTCAGGCTGGTGTTGCCCAAAATGCTGTTGCTAGACGCTTTGGTGTACACCGAAACACAAATCAAAGACGAAAGATTGTATTTGAGAGAACAACACCGATATCTCAGTCTAGCATGTATATTATTTAGTTTTCTGTCGCCACCTTGGCACAGATGTTCCACTGTCACGCCATCAATTTGAAATTGGTTATTGTATTTTTGTTAGACCCAATTTGTTTTGCAGTACAACAAAATCTTTATTTAAGTTTTAAGAAGGTACAATGTGTTTATATTACCTTCCCTCGGCTCGGGAAACATGAAATATGATGTCCAATAGACGGCAAGAGTTCATGATACCTGCCTACTATCTATATGCATACATCGTTTTGTGTTTATGTCAGGCGGAGGAATTTACACTAAGAGCGGATTTTCATTGTAGATCAAATACGTAATAAGTAAGTAATAATCTAGTTTTTTTGTACCGGATTACTGCAGAGGATCGTCGAGTTTCACACGCCCGTGAACGCCTTCAGTTTCATTTACCCGAAACTGTAATAAAAATATATGTTTAAATGTGTTCTTGTCAAATTCTACTTTGATTCGAACATACATTTTATTTTTGTTTATCCTCCTTACGCGAAATCTAGAATTGAATGCCGACACACATTACTAAAGCTGACAGGTAACCGCTGCGCTGCTGGGTTTTATGTAAGAGGCGCCTTTTTAGGGGCCACCTTTTCAAAGTATTAGAAATTCTCCAGCTACATTGTTCATCTTTGGATTATCCTGAAAAACACATTAAAGAACTATAAATTAATCGTCTACTTTTGTAAAATTCTTTTAGCATGAAGATCAAACAGTTGGTTAGATCTTCAATTTCCCCGAAATTCCCCTCAGGAACATTACATAAAGTACGTGCTTATCAAATATACAATAATTCTACATTTAAATCGACATGGACAGACTTACATTGAAACAAAGATAAAATCGTAAAACAGTTAATGCCTGACAAATTTAAACAACACAGCACAGCAACACTGGCGATACGGCCTTAAAACCAGCGTGTGTTTCACCGAGTACCGAGTGACGGAGCGCTGCCGTTATAAAACATAACATTTATTGACGGTACAATCTTACACAGACAGTCACTCCCCGACTTCATTTATCATGGTTTAAAACAGTTTTCTGTTAAATTGATCGTCATTAAACATTATGAAACTAGTTCATTTCTGTTCGATGTGATCTAATATACTCATTTCAATGTAAGTCTGTTCAATACCTTACAAATGTACACACACAACGTCCAGGTACAGACAATTCGTCCTAGCGTAAGAATGACGTCTCATAAAATATCAGCGTTTCTAAAATGCTTACATAGATTAGATTAATGAATGAAAAATATGATTAATATTCGTTGATTTTACCAATAAAACTATGTTTGAATTGGTTGGATTATAATTAAAAAGTGAGTATCTGTTGTACAGAAAACAAAACCCATATAAGATTCGTTTCTGATCCAACAATCAAATATATGAAGAAATCACCAAGTCTACAGCGTTGTACAGGATAAATGTTCAGATAAATAGCGATACCTTTATGAAGCGTTCCGCTTTCAAGTTGGGTGTGAAAGTCTATTCTTCAAAGGATTACCATAGCGCTAACTTTTCTCTAGAATGTCGATAAAAAAGCTTAACAATTATGCTGCGTCTCAAAAATAATTTGTAAAATTTGAAATTTAATACGGATTTCGATAAGGTTGGCATTTGGCAATGATAAAACCAATAAAAGCAACAAAATGGTACATGTAATGCCTTTTCATCTCCTTATCAGATAGCTTGTATTTGTAGAATATTATACACGTCTTACAATACAGGGAATCACTCCAGGCGTCTAACTTTGTATCACACCACGCCTTAGATCCACGGATTATAACTATAGCCTCTAATCCCTATCATTTAAAACGGTTCACCTTTCTGTACTCTTCTGTGTCAGAAACAATATAGCTTCACCCTCCGTTTCACGATAGATACTCGCAAGATTGCATAAAATAGATACTTGTATAATGTATTTTTCATGTACCTGTTATCTTTAAATACTATCCCCTGGTGAGATGTAATATGAAGGTAAACCCAAAAGGTAAGTCTTGTTTCGGCGCGCTCAAATCCCCCTAACGCGTGACAACTGTCTGTCAATAAAAGCATCTTTGTCATTTTGGCGTACTGATAAACTATTCACCTCGATTTATCTTTATTGCATTTTTCATCCAAACAATACAACATTATAAGGATCGAATTGCAAATTAACAAGACGAAAACCACATAAGATTAATAATGAAGCTTAAGCACGTTGCAAGCCAACCGATATCACGGTCAAATTAATATCTCGATACGAGTGTACCCTGTGTGATACAATGGACTTTTTTAATTAAATCCCATCAAATATTTATACATACAGCTCCATCAACAAATTATTTTTCTTTTCTCTTCATAATATGTATATATATATATATAATTTATATGTCTTTTCGGTATCAAAATAAATGGTTAGAATTTAAACCATTAGATTCAATTATAATAAAAATGAGTATTAGTAGTTGTTTCCCCTAATTTGATTATTAATTTGATAATACCAACTTGTTTATATGTGTTCTAATGTCTATGTCTTTGCTTGTACCACTGTTTGTTACTATGTTTGGAAAGGGCTTACACAGGCTATGCCTGCTGCCCAATCCATTTGTCCTTTGACAATAACATTTATTGAAATTGAAATACGATTGTACCCTGATGTTTCGAGACATGGTTCGGGCACTACTTACACAACACCACTGAACATCTGATTTGTTTTCCACAAACAGCCGTGAAATAACTGTATACTGTCAATAGGTTGTGTTCTCGTAGATATTCTTTTCTGCAAGTGTTTATTATTGTATGTTTGATTGGAACAGATAGAAAACGAATGCTCGTATTTTTAGGCGAATGCAATGCCAAGTACGATTATTATTTTTAATATCTAACTACAATGCACTTTGAGTTTCCGTTCCCGTATACAGTATCTTTTTTTCACGATCGAATACATACAACAATTGCACTTCTTAGCTCGGTATGATGTTGCTATGTCTCCTTACAATGCTCCTATTCATATTGTCCAAGAATCTTAAAGTACGAATAAAGAACTGTTTTGAACCGCTACAGTTTTCGCATCATACTTATTACGTTGGCTGGAGAATTCCATATTGAAGTTATCAATTTGACATCTTCAGACGATAAAATGTCCAGTAAACTGGCTTAAAGTGTCAGTCAGAAACGTTTCAGTGTCTCGAAAACGGATGTATAAAGATATTACACATGGTACTACAAAACATTACATCTTAGTGTGCGCCATTTATTTCTTAATAATTAAAGCCTGTCATTTTCAGAAGGATTCTGATCTACTCAACCGTGTAAAATTCTGAAACTAAATGCACAATATTCTCAATATATGACAGGATTTAACACTAAGTATACAGTAGTAGATTTAGGTCAACGTCGATAATAACAAGCAGACTAGTGAGCATTGTCTTCACCCGACTTAGAGGCAGCACAGTCTGATGGTTACAGTCTTAGGTCCCACCTAATAGGCTGTAGGTCTAACACGATATAGGTTGTGAGGCATAAAATATACACAAAAAATGTGTTATTCTATGTAAAAATCATACCTGTTATGTGAAACATAATTTGAGGAAAGAAATATACTATAGAAACAATATACAGGGACAAAACGGGACTCATAATCGATACGAAAATAGCACAAAAACTAAGGGCACACAAAAACAAGGACACACACAGAACCTCAACAATAAAAAGAGGTAAATCCATGAGTTCTGAAAAGGTAGCCTAAGTCAAATCCAGGTAAGTATCTAGGGCGACAGAGATGGCCGCAGTACTGTTTAATGTAGGTCGAATCTAACCCTGGGTCTATACAGAAAACACTATTACTTAGAAAACGCTCTGATGTTAACTGATCAAAAGATGTGTTTTACCAGAAAGCCCCGGTACTCAAAAATGTTCTGTCTAAGAATGTATTGGTAAACAGGATGAATCTTTCCCGAAAACCCTATTACTTAAAAACTCTTTGCCTGAGATATTGATCGAAAGACTGGGTTTTTTATCGATAAAACCTTGGTACTTAGAACAGGCTCTGGTAAAGGTATTTATTGGTCAAAAGATGTATCTACCAGACAATGCTGGTACTTAGAACAGGCTCTGGCAAAGGTATTTATTGGTCAAAAGATGTATCTATCCAGACAATGCTGGTACTGACAACATGCTTTAACTAAAAAGTCTACTGAACAACAAGAGCAGACTCTTGTGTAACGAATCATCTCAGTCATATAAACTCGAGCATGAGTCTGTTACTTTGGAGAACAAGAAAATTAACAATCGTGAAATTGAACATAGAATGTTTGTCGCAATGTTAGGTAGTGGAGTGACAATTAATGTTATTTTGTATATACATTTCAGGATGTGAAGCGGACGAAGAGGAACTGTGATGTTTATTTCCAGTTCTGTGTGATTAATGAAATACAAGTAGCTCATAACATTCTTGTTTTTTAAGGAAAATAAATGTCATCAGATTTTCAAAACGTATCATCTCCATTCTTCCATAGCCATGGCCATGTGAAAAGGGCTAATTCAGGAGAAAAAATAGCTAGAACTTGTGCACATTGGGATGCTCTTGGATGTCAAGACTGTCAAAATGTTCCTCTGCCAAACTGGAACAATATAATCCTTCCTTATACACTATTCTGATGTAAGTAGTGGTGTTTAACATACTATGTCTCAGTCATAATAATAATTTCTGCATGAATTCGCCAGACAAAATAGAGCGACTTTAATAATAGATAGTTGGTTACCATGGTTATCTATCAAGCGTAGTTTTTAAGGTGGAAGATTTTATATGTTTTAGATAAACACAATAATCAGGATTTCGGGAACTTTTCCCCGTTAGTAAACTAACAAATCTCCCAGTCGGAGTGATAGGACACTGTCTGTTATCACCCAGAAATATAAACATGGTGATACGGAGTTGTCATATCGTTTTTCTGTATAAAAAACCTGACGCCAAATTGTGTGTCATATTTGATAACACAGATTATAAATTCCTTGTCGAAAACCGCCATATATCTACGAGAAAAACGAACTCGTAGTGTGAAGAGTAAACTGGCTTCACCTACATTACTGTCATTATATTCGACACTTTATCTGTAACACCAGTTACGTCTCAATATGTACAGTAAATGTTATTATTACCGATGTAGTCACATTAATTATTCTTAAAATTCTAAATTTATTATTCAAACAACAATCTTTTTAACTAGAATTTTGTTTTTGTGAACAAAAACATATGTCTCCCCTTATTAGCCAAAAGAAAAACTCCAGTGTAAAAAAATAACAAAGGTCCATATCTCTTTATATAGTAGGGCACGAGACCCGAATTTAGAATGCGACACTCCTACTTCCCAAGATACATTAAAACTTGAGCAAGTTTGGTCAACGTAGGTGAAATAACATGGAAGTTATACCGTGGACAAACTTCGGTATTAAAATTAAACAAAGGGCCATAACTCTGTATATAGTAGGGCACAAAACCTGATTTTAGTGTGAGAGATTCCGCCTTCCCAATATATATAAATATGATAAGTTTGGTCAACGTAGGTGAAATAGCATGGAACTTATGCTCCGGACAAACTTCCGCATTGAAATTAAACAAAGGTCCATAACTCTGTATATAGTGAAACATGATACCTAATTTTATTGCACTGCACACCTTCTGTGGGTGATGCAGATATAGTTCAAGTTTAATCAAGATATCTTAAACAGTTTGAAATTCACGGGCCGGACAAGATTTTAATGAAAATGTGCACTTTTTTTACCTTTGACCTTGAGGTGAAGGTCACAGTGACCTAACGCACTGCACACACCCCGTGGGTGATTCATGCATACCTAAAGTTTCATCAAGATATCTTTAACGATTTAAAAATTATGGCCCGGAGAAGTACGATTAGAAGAACCAGAAGAAAAACCAAAAGAACCAGTACTAATACAATATGTATCCCTTCATTAGAAGGGGAGACATAATAATGATTAAAGGAATTACAACTGTAGGAGGTCTGCAAAGTCTTGCAAAGATATTTCAAAAGGGACATGAAGAAATAGCTGAATAGAAAAAGTATGTTCAAGTAGCTTCAGAGTGTTGTGACTACGTCGGGAGAGATGAGTTTCATTTTTTGCTAAACAACTATTGTGTTGTCCAAAAAGATTCAGTTAAAATGTATTGAAGAAGGGGTATATCTCCCATAAATGTGCATCATGGCCATCGTCTTCCTGGGTTACAAAAATAACACGGAAACGCTTACCTTTGTATCATCTTTAATTATCATCAGGTATAATATCAATACATTACTCGTGTGTTACACACAATAGACAAGAACCAGTGGTTACATGTTGTTAAAGTACTCAGTGTTCTCAAAATTAGGACTGTGTGGCGTGAAGGGTGACCTTACATCCTTTGAGACAATACGCTAACATGTTCTAATGCTTCCCAAAACCAAAATAACGTGAACTAAACGTTGAAAATTAATTAATAACCTCGTCGAAGGACAATGCATGTAAATATTGAAAATCAAGGTTAAAATCATGATATCTACATTTGTTCTGCATCCTTCCATTGCAATGCATTAAGAAGGCTAATATTGTTATGAGACTATACCAATTGCATCAATCTCTTTTGTGACGTCATCAAGTTCACTGTTGTCAATACTTGATTTGCTGTTCAAAAAATGCTCGAAATAACTAAATAAAGCACAACTACTCTATCAAAATGTAAATATAAGAAATGAATATATTTTAGCAAATATTGTTATGGTCCTTTAATACACATTTGTATTGCTGACAAACGTTCATAAATCCCTATAGGGCTTTCTTAAATTTGTCATCAATAGCAATGTGTGTTATAGGAGCATCACTACATATTTTAAAACATTCATTGCTTTAACCTCAGTCAAATTTGCGCCGATTTCCGAAAAGGCGCCCGGGCTATGTTTTTTTTTTTTTTTGGGCACCGTAATGACGCTGGGAGCTTTTAGCGCGGAGATAAAAGTTGCCGGTGTCCCCAACAAATCGGAAAACGGCCCCGGCACCCGAGACGCCGGGAAGTTGGCCGATTCCTCCTTCCCGGCAGGCACAAATGTGACTGAATTAATTAAACGTTATAATAACATCGGTGTACAACATCAGAAACTATCAGATCATAATATGCTGTAAACAGTGTACTTCCCAATAGGAATAACTTTGTGATGTTTTTGATAGGTTTTTCCAGGTTTAAGAACGTATTTACATATTATTTGAAATAATTAGAAAATATCTGTAAGACATAAATGCCCCCGCTGCCATGTGAAATTAGTTTCAGTGTTCAGGACGGGACGGGCATGGGCAACACTATATGCCCCTCTATTTTATGGCGGGGGCATACAAATAAATGATTAATGTGGTACCACTGTGACTATAACCATACTTTGTACAGTAGGACACGAAACTGTGTACAGTAAAGGGGTTTATACCAGGTAATTTAGATAATTGGACTTTTTTTAATGTGAAAAGTTTTTATTTCAAAATGTTGAGTACAGCTGCATGTTAATCATGACTGCGAATAGATGAAGAAAAGCACGATAAATAGATACAAGCGTGCACAAGCATTTTAACGCCTTTTATACATAAATCAATAGTCAATCTTTAAAGCTATTAAACATGTAAAATATGGTAAAATGATAAAAGCTTTTTTTATTGTGCAACTACTGTGATTGCATATGTGTGGGTAAACAAGTTAATCTAGTGAAAATGATAACAAACAATGTGGTAAACATGATAACAAACAAACAACAAGAGGCCGAATGGGCCTGAATCGCTCACCTGGTATTAATCTCACACTTGTAACTTAAAAGTGGACTAAAATACAGCTACAGGCATAATATCAGTTTTTAATTCATAAGAACCTATTAAAAGATTTAAACATATGACGCTTGTGACCTTGAATGTTGAACAAGTACATTAAGTTGAAGAGAGTTTATAGTCTTCCAACCCAGCATACTTCTGGGAAAATATCATTATTCTGGACCTTTTTGTTATACAGAACAAGTCATTTGAAGTTTTAAACATATATTGACCACTTTGACCTTGAAAATGGGCGAATATCATTCATTTGAACATAGTACTTCATCCCAGCATGCTACTGGCTAAATATCATCACCTTGGGCCTCATGGTTATTCAGAAGAATTTGTTTAAAGTTTTCAACATATTTGAGCCTGTGACCTTGAATATGGTTGAAGGCCATTTATTTGAACAAACTTGGTAGCCCTTCATCCCAGTTTGCCTCTGGCTAAATATCATCATGCTAGGCCCTTTGGTTACCAAGAAGAAGTTGTTTAAAGTAAAATATTGACGCCGGACGCCGGACGCCAGACGGACGCCAGACGGACGACGGATGCCACAACATGGCATAAGCTCACTTGGCCCTTTGGGCCAGGTGAGCTAAAAAATATTGTTCTTCAAAACAATGATTTATATAATTTGAGCATAGACTAGTAACTTGCTCTTTGTACTACTACTTGTATTCTTGTGACAAGTGATATTATATGACTGAACTACCACCCTTCATTCTCGTCCAATTTACTCCAAACAAACTCTACAAAACTTTTAAATTTCAAGGACACTTAAAGAGACAAATGATTCAGATTTAAATGAGAAAACATGAACATGATATGCCATAGTGTTTCCTCTATGCCAAGTCACCTAAGTTATGTCACTGGTCAATGTCATATAGCATTGAGCCTGAAGTAGTTGTATCACATTTTTAAACAAATTAGAACTGTTTCCTGATCGTTTATATATTTCAAATGATTTAACATTGTGAACTTGAGACAGTACATTGATTGGATTTTTCATAAGTCAAAACTCAAACTATTGAAAATGTACTGAATATGCTCAAGATCCAATAAAACATATTTTGAAAATTCTAATGCCCACATTCCTTTAGGAATGTTTGATTGAATACACATTTCAAGTTAATTGTTCGCAACAAAAATGTTTCTTCCCTGCCAAAAATACTTCATTTTAATATCTTTTTGTACATTTATTTAAGTAACTGAACTTTTTGTTTCAATGAATAAAATATTTGCGCATCACCATCGCATCTTTTTGTTTTCATTGTATATTTGTATAAAAAAGAATGAATTTGGTAATGGTCATCTTCATTCATCGCAAATCATAATATTTAAAATTGGGGGTGTAGACAACATTACAAGAAATGTATCTTTGACTATTTGAAATAGCCTTGTACCAACCAAAGAATGTGTTATTTGAACGATACACACAACTATGAAATTTCCTATCAATATTTTGTGTCAATAAATAGTAACAGTTCATATAAGCATTTGACCTTTGACCTTGACCTTTGGGTTATTTACATGGGAGCATTGCACATCATAAAACCCACATCCATGTCAAGTTTAATAACAAAATGTTTGGGCAAAGTTTTGATTTTGACAATGTATTTAAATCCTCGTAC